CTTCAAACAAAAGGCTCAAAGTTGCTACGAAGTAAGCTGCCTTCTAGCACAAGACTGAAAGGGAAGATTAGGTCGACCTAATCTTATATAAGGTCGACCCAAAGGTGCAAGTTACGGTGACATGCATGTCACCGTAGCAAAGTCCCAAATTTTATTAGGAAGGAATTTTAAAGAAGAAATATTTTTGGATATACAGAGTTTTGGGAATAACCTTGCCTTTACTTTTCACAAATCCACATACAATCCAAAATTATGGCTATGATAAAAGTTGCAGTCCTTAAAAATTTATGCACAATAAAAAAAAATCAAGACGTTCGGATTGCGCATAGAAAAATTGCTTTTCACAAAGTTATGGCCTTCCAAAGTTTGACGAAATAGAAAAATTGCTCGTTCGGGCAAACGACATTTTTCTGGGATGAAGGCGAGACCAAAACGCCTTCGGTGTGCAAGAGTTTGAAAAATTGTGCGGAGTCAAAAAAACTTTCGCTGTGATCGGATAACCGAACGCAAAATTACGTTCATTTGAAGTTTCGGCGTTAGGTCAGGCCTTCACCGCATTTCTCGGCCGCGGGATGCCCAAACATGTGGAGATTGAGAATTTTTATAAAACATGTGTATTGTGGGGGGGAAATCCATAATTGCTTCATCTATCTATTATTGACATTGCATGCCTGCCATTTTGACATCCGTTAATTGTCTCTCTTGTTCGGTTGAAGAAAAAAAGGGGTTTCGATTCTACTGTCGAATTGTTGTTGAGGTGTGACGATTTTGGATATTCTAGATCCTTCCCGGCGGGCTAAGAGGCAAGAATTGGAGTCGAGTTTGAAATTGGAGAATCAGTAGGAGAATTATAGGGGAAGAAAGAGAGATTGAGAAGAGAACAGAAGCAGGAGCAAAAGAAGGGAGAAGGCATAGTAGTGGAATAAGAAGATTGATAAATTGACTTTTGTTATTCGATGTTCTTTCCTATTACAACACAACCTATTTTATAGGCATAGGTCAAGAACAAGTGACACCCCAAATTAACCCTTTTCGATACATAAGTTCTAGTCCTTACAATCCCCTCAGCTTGAGTACAACCTTGTATAGTCAATGCTGTAAGAGAGAGAGAGAGAGAGAGATAGATAGAAACACAACTCTGGCAATGAACCAAAAATGAACAGATGAAGCAAAGCAACATTCTTGCCCTGTGGCTCAAGTTACGCTGCTATAAGATTGATTACTACCAGCTGCTACTCTACTCCTGGCATCCCAGTAACAAGAACCGAAGGTTCTAATCAATGTATGTTGCCCTTAGTTCATTCACTACAGAACACAGGAGCCTTCCGGATACTAACAACAACCACCATGAACAAGAGAGTAGTACACTGTGCATCAATATGAATTCCCAGACCAAGTTGGCTTTATGTTTCCAAGTGCCCAAGCAAATAGAGAAAGAAATACAGTCCCACAGTACTTCTTGTAGGGCTCTTTGAAGTCTAAGGCCAACACCTCACCCAAGAGATTGCACCACAACAAAATTCGAGACCCTTGTGACGTGCCTAGATCTTTCCCAGCGAATTAGATGAGTGAAATAGTGGAATTGTGAGGGGAATTAAGGGAAGAGGTAGAGAGTTTGAGATTGTGAGGTGAGGTGAGGTGAGGAAGAAGGATTGGATAGGCAGAAGAAGAAGCAGAGCAATCGGAGAAGGGAAGAATAGTGAAGGAGAAGTAATCATCAACACATATTATTAAAGGTGAAAGCCAAAACCCATTGCTCCATTTCAAATTTCCTGCATTGAGAGTGAAAGTAGGAATGACATTTTTGTCTTCACAACTACTTATTTATTTTCATAAAAAATATATACATATGGAGATTCAAACCATGACAACTTTTAAGAGAGAAAAGGGCTACAACCAATCACACTACATATATTTGTTGTATGTTTTAAAAGAAAAACATATACAAACCTAAAATCTCAAAAATCAGAAGATCTTTTCAGCAGTTAGCTAGCAACTAAATCTCTCATAAGTACTTATTTTGTAATTTGATACTTCGACTTTCATATTTTTTTATTATTTTAATTGTATGTTAATACTTAATTTATATTTCAATGTATATTATAAATATATGATAACTTTAAAATTGCAACCCATATATAACTTGGTTGAATACTGCATATAAAATTAGAGTATTAAATAGGTCAAAGCAATGTCAAAATTTTAAATTAGTATTAATTTTTAGAATTAATTATGAAGAAATCATATCCTTATGCAGGCTATATGGGACTGGTTTTTTAACGTTTTAGCCGGGTTAACTGCTAAGCTTTCAACATGTTCCTAATCTGACATGATTAGATCCAATGATCATTGTACGAGATTGAGCTTATTTATTGGTTCATTTCACCATTTTTTGATATGTTAATGAATTTCTAGGGCAATGACATATGTCTACGTATAAACACAATACAATATATAAGACTGGGATGAGAAAAGTATTTTCCCGTTTCAAATTCCTACAACGAGAGCGAAAGTATGAATGATATATTTGCCTTCACAATTATTAAACTTATTTATTTGTAAAAAAATAAACAAGTATTGGAATTTGAACCAATGTATCTTCAAAAAAAGACAAGAATCATAAGCCTGATTGTCAACCCAAGTTTGACATGGTTGGGCGAATCAGTTTTTCCCAAACCCGAGTATTTGTTAGGATGTTGGAGGCCCAGTTGGTTATCAAACCAAACTTGGTCAAACTAAGAAAATCAGTTGAATTAGGAAATTGAGTTGATTCAACTAACTCATCGAAGCACTGAGTCACTTCAATCTGACATCATTTTCAACAAATCTAATCACTAGCTTTGTTGACATGTCGTCCTTTTCCTTATCAAAGACCCATGCAGCAACATACATCAACCACCCGTGTTCGGTTATCCCATAATACATTTTCCTCCTTTAGTATCGGCAGGCAACAATACAAGTCCCAATCATCTCAAAAGCCAACACAGCCAACACAGTTCCTCAGTAGTCAATTCCTTTTTCCTTCCACCAGCAAGGTCACATCGCCAATCAACCACATCTCAAACAAAGAATAAGGCACAAGATTAGACGAACATATATTTGGATTGAGAATTGGTGTGATTAACGAAGACCAATGTCCTCATTTGTATATATACATTAAATCGAATTGGAGAAGAAGAGTAAGAACATTGAGAATGGAATATGATATGCAATGAAAAGAAGAAAAGAATAAAATAGAAAATAAAATGGAAAAAGATAAAAAGAAAGAGGGAAGAGATTTAGAATTAAAGCGTCATTTTAAAGCATCAGTTTCAAGTGAGAGAAAAGAATAAAAATGAAACTCAATCCCAACGAATAAGTTATATTAAATCGTCATTGTATCTAAATTTATCATAGAATTTTCTTAAATATCTAAGCAAAATACATGTGAAATCAGTAAAATTTTCATGCACCTGGGTAAAGCTAGGCTTAACCACGTTAATCCAATTCATCCATTAATCCTTAATCCACTTGCTTAAACGACTCATTAGTGGAATCGAGTGACAACCTTGGTCATAACAAATTAGACTGAACAAATTTGTTGTATATTTTTAATGGGTTATAGGTATAATATACTCCTCTATTATATATATATATGAATTAAGAACTCTATTATTCACTAATGCATGCAATTTCAGTTTCCAAACATATTTTACTCAAATACTTTTATATAGCAATGAATGAATCACTAAATTTTGCTTAGTTTTCAATGAAAGATGAGATGCGGTTAATGGATTTATGAGCTCAAATATACCTCCATACCACTAAAGCTACAATCATTGTGATCTTTAGTTGTACATTCACCTCTGCCAATGTTTACAGGTTCATATTTTGCTATGAAATTTAGATAAAGAAACTTTAAATCTCACACGTTTAAAAGTAGGAGATGGAAACTATGTAAATAAGTGAATGCGAATTTACTATTTTGAAACCCAAAATTAAAAGAATTTAGATCATCTCATTTTGCTGTAATTTAAAAAGTCTTATGGGAAAGTGATACCTTAGCATTGGATGTGGTGGTGAATGAACAACTAATGCCAAACGCGGCCTAAAAAATTTCCTCCACTATGAATTGCAAAAAAATATCCTTCCCAAACCCAATTTATTACCAGTCAAATCATATTTGGTAATATCACTTGAAGGTTATACCAATAAACAACTATTTAGTTTGAGTCTCAATTAGACCTATTACATTTGCTACTAAAAAAATGAATATCAACTCTAATGTAATTTTTGCAAATTTTTTTGGATAACAAACATAAATGTGAAAACACGAAGGTGTGAATTGGTTTAATGCGAATAGCTAGATAGTCGATATTTCTTTAATCTTTATAGATATAATAATGTGTACTCAAATAGATTGAAATTGTGGGTTTGACCCAAATAAATGTTTTTCCTGTTCTAGCTCTCTCCCGCATTCCATAATTTACTATTCCGCCCAATGGGCCGGGTCAAAACTATTAATTTGTTATTCGATGTTGTTGCCCATTACAATTTACAACACAACCTATTTATATAGGCATAGGTCAATTACAAGTGACACCCCAAATTAACCCTTTTCGACACATAAGTCCTAGTGGTTACATGAGGCCTCGATCGGGTTCGTCCTGTGGAGTGGGAGGAGCTCTTCTGAGCAGATCTACAGAATCAAATCGACAAGAAAGAGAGGAGGACCTGCCTGCTACTACAGAGATTTGAAGCCCGAAATCGCAAAGGACTCCTTCCTTCACCCCGCTTCTGTGTTCTTGTCTTCTTCTTCGACTGCTCCAAAGCCGTCAATCATCGCCTTCGCCAGAAACCATTTGGAGAGCTAGACAAGCGTTGGAGTGGAGGAGCGAGTACAGGAGAGAAGGACCCACAATTACCCAATGGCCGCCCAACAAAACCAAAGAGCCGGTGGTAGCATAATCGACTCACTGGGGGAAGAAATTGTGAGAATCGTAACACCGGTCTCAATCTGCATGTTCCTGGTGGTGATTCTGGTCGCTGTTCTCAACTCCGGCTCCTCCTCCTCGCCGCCCACCATAAACACCATAGCTACAATCGCCTACAGCGAGACAACCTCGGATTCAACCTGGGACAAGCTCAAAGGTGCCCTCTTGAACGCCCTTGTCTTTGTGGTTGTGGTCACTGCGGTTACTTTCCTCTTGGTGCTGCTGTTCTACTTCAGATGCACTCACTTCTTGAAACTCTACATGGGTTTCTCTTCCTTCATCGTTTTACTCTTCCTGGGCGGCGAGATTGCCTTGTTTCTTATCAGAAAATTCAGTGTCCCCATCGATTGCTTCACATTTCTGGTACTGTTGTTCAATTTTGCGGCCGTGGGTGTTTTTGCCGTCTTCTTGTCCAAAATGGCCATCATTGTGACACAAGGTTACTTGGTCGCCATTGGGATGCTTGTTGCTTACTGGTTCACTCTGCTCCCTGAATGGACTACTTGGGTTCTGCTGGTAGCTCTGGCATTGTACGATCTTGCAGCTGTTCTGTTACCCGTTGGCCCGTTGAGATTACTTGTAGAGCTTGCTATATCTAGAGATGAGGATATCCCTGCTCTGGTTTACGAGGCTCGACCTGTTATCAACCATGATCAAGGATCCGGGGAATATGAAGGGCAAAGGAGGGCGTGGAGGCGACGTAGAGAATCGGGAAATGATTCCGAATCCGATCACAACATAGGAACTAGTGATGCGGAGGTTACTGCTCCTTTGATTCAGAATAGAGTTAGTTCTGTGGTGGATGGGCAGGAAAGTAGTGTCGCATCTACTGATAATAGCTTTCTCGAAGGTATTGGTCTGGGATCGAGTGGTGCGATAAAGCTGGGGCTAGGTGACTTCATTTTCTACAGTGTGTTGGTTGGAAGAGCTGCTATGTATGATTTCATGACTGTGTATGCATGTTATCTAGCTATTATAGCCGGTCTGGGTGTTACATTGATGCTGCTGGCACTTTATCAGCAGGCTTTGCCAGCGCTTCCAGTGTCGATTGCATTCGGAGTATTGTTTTATTTTCTGACAAGGCTTCTGCTTGAAGAATTTGTTGTACAATGTTCTTTGAACCTTGTAATGTTTTAGCAGCTATGGTTGCAAATTAATCACATTGATCTCGTTGGCCTTAGAGTTGACTAAAGTTTCATTGATCTACCGCCAAAATATCTGTGATGGTAACCTCAATCATTGTTACATTCTCCTTCTGCTCTTGGGTAATCACAGCAGCATTCTCCATGTTCATCCTCTGATGATATTCTGACCGATTCCAAGGCGGCAATTGGGCTGAATCATTTTTGTAGATCAAGGAGATCACCTGTAATGTGGAAGCTCCATACCTCCCGCGGATTATCTTGCGCACATAAGAGACCTACCTTAGATGCACTTCACTTCATTTTGGCAGTTGTTGCTGTTGATGTCCATGTCCATGTCCATGGCCTGCAGCCACCAGTTCTTTGTCTCCACCTTTATCCATAGATACGAAGCACTCTAATATTTCTTCATGCTAATGGGTTTAGTTGGCAACTCTTTCTATGGGTAATCCAGTGACCATCATGTCCACAGCTATTTGTAGTTGCTGGAATAGTGGGAAGCCTGGAAAGGTGTGTTGAACATTATCCTGCGTGCATTGCAGTTGGAGATCTTGGCGACACTCGAAATGTTTTCATCACTAGCGAGTAGCTTTCACGCAGTAGTGGCGATTTAACAAAATGTTGCCCCAAAATCACTGAAGACTCCAGCAATATCCTCCTAGCCTAATATACATTGAACTTTATACGAGTGTAACTATGCAATCCGATCTAGAATATCCGCTATAAATCGGAACTTCGTAACTACGATACACTTTTTTCCGTATAACTTTTCATTCAAGCAGTAAGCATGCCTAGTCAACAGTTTAATACCAAAATCGCAATCCCCATCGTCCCCCGCCAGACACCCCATATTTCCATTCAAACGGCAGCAAATGTATGTAAGCAGGCGAAAACCGTTAAGGCGACATCCAACTCTGAATGGCAGATGTCGCTGTTGGACTAATTAGTCCTCAATGTCACAGAAAGATATCGTCTTTCGACTGTTGTACTACCATAGATGGCAAGCCAGGCGTGAGTTCCTTTGTATCGAGCAGTCCAAGAAGGTAAAGCAAATAACCCACACGAGGTTCCACATTTCGACTTGGACACAACGGAAATGTGGCCCAGCAGCAACTACTACTGATAAATAAACAACGGTGTATAAGTAGAATGCATAGAGCGACTGAGCTTAGACTTGCAAACAACCAATAACAACAACTATCATTTAAGTAGTAAAAACCAATATGCGCATCATCAATCTTGACCAACCCTATCAACAACCTACCATGAATAGAGAGTTGCTCCAAAATTCTCAAAGTTGGTTTATTACATCCAAGAAACCGAACTAAAAGTAAGATATTTTGGGAAAACAAGGCAGCAATATAAGTGGGCAAGGGGAAAAACAGCTCAGAAAGTTCTACTCGCTCAGTTTCCATCACTTCCTATCTATACACCCGGCCTGAAGTAAATCTTACTCCGAAACTCCGCCTCTCACAGTTCAGGCTGGGCTGAAAAGTGACCAGGAAACCCGGTGCTAGTTCGACATCTTGATTACCGTATTTGAGAGGATGAACATATCAAGCCCGAAGCATCTGCCCCAACAACAGCAAGACCACAGACAGCACAAATCTGCCCCTCTTGGTCAGGAACAAATCGGGCAGAACAGTAAGGGCAAGATACATCCTTTTGTCCTCGGTATATCGGAACATAAGTAGCACCGCACACAACAAACGGATTCCTGAAATCATAGCTCAGCTGAGTAGCATCCGTCATGTTCCTCTCAGAAGCTGCCAGCACTTGCCTCGCTGTCTTTGCATGATTCTCAACTGGTGGGTTAGTCTCCAAAAGCCGCCTAGCAAAGTTAGCAGCTGTAGCAAAGTTCTTCGCCTTGTAGCAGACCGTCATTGCATTCAGCAAAGCTAGTCTCAAGTGAGGGGTTTGAAGGTTGCAATGGGTAAAGTAAGCAGCAAGCTCTTGTTGACGAACAGGGTCGTTCTTCATTTCCCTCCTCTTGAGTTCCATCTGTAGCCCCTGAACATATTCCTTAACAATAATAATCAGCTCTTTGACTTCATCAACTTCCCTCCTTGTCTCCACAACAATAAGAGGAATTGTGTGAAGAATGATAAGGAAGAGCTTCAGAGCCTCCGTAAATTTCCCAGCTGTGGTGGCTTTATAACCAGCCTTCAGCTTCTCTTCCAAATCTGCAAAACTGAATATCAGTGCTGGACCACCTCTTACGTTGGGGCTTGCAGACTCATTCCACCGTTCAACCGCTAGTGCTACCACCGAAGTTGCTGAGATAGCACGCAAGTAAGACTGACTTCCAGTGTAAAGATCAAGGAACATAGATTTCAATGGGTCAAAATTCTTAATTCCAATCTGCCTATGGAGCAATCTCATAGCAGTATCGAAATTGCCAGCCGCCACGTGCTCAGCAGCAAGTGATGATTTTTGAGTCCATATGTGACTGACAGGCATTCCGGGAGTTGGAGCCACAAAAACTGAAGACCGAGCAGTAACAGAAGCTTTCGGTGTGTCGGCCTCTTGAGGCAGATCCAAGTCTTCAAGATCCCAACCTCCTTCCTCATCATTGTCTTCAGCTGCTTCACCATCCTCCAAAGCAGCTGTGACATCACCATTCTGTAAACCATCTGCATCAACCATTTCCAGTTCCTCACCCCAATCACCTTCAGCGGCTTCTTCTTCATCATCATCAATTCTGGCTGCATTTTCAAGACCCCCTTCAAATATACCTTTCATTACTCTCAGTAGAGGCCAATCACCAGAACAGGTGATTGGGGTTGGAGGTGTGAGAAGAGAAGGAACTTTACCCTCAGGCAAAGATGGAATGTTATCTCCTAATTCAGCTGCTAAGCGCTCAGCTACTTCCTCCAGCCCATGCACTTTAGCTGTTATGTATGCTAGGGGTATTTGGCCAGCAGTCTCGAGGATCTTCACACGCTCCTGAATGTCACCCAAGTAGAGAGCATTGTGAAACTGGCCCATGACATCGTTCTTGACCTCAGCAATTTTTAACATTTTTGACAGTTTCTCCAGATTCCCCGTAATCAAATACAAGAAGGACAACCTCTCAAAATTCTTGGTTCTCTGATAGGCATATTCAACAATACCAGCATTTCCCTGGCGAAGGGCTTCAACTCCTAGCCTGTACCAATGATCTTTTTCATCAATTTCCTTAGCTGAAGCAACAGCAATCTGTATGTTCCCACTCTCTAGAGCCAAATTGAATCGGGTCCTTTCGTCCTTGACAAAATGCAAAGCAACTTCAGGGAATCCCTTCTGCTGCAGATAAGCAATCATGGCCTGACCGCAAAGCTGCGAGTTCCTAATCATGCTCATAACATGATCATATCTCTTCTTGAAAAGAGAAAGTTTGAACATGTACTCTGTAGCATCAATGGCAATAGCCCTATTCTTCCCATCTCTATCCAGACACATGATGGTATTTCCAGAGACCTTAGTAATGTAAAGTGGGACCTCAAGGGTTTTGATTATACCACTATCACCATTCGGAAGGCAATATTTGAAGTGGTTTAGAGTGGAGTATATGAAAACACCGTTGTCATCCCAGGCTCCACTCTTTACACGGATTGTTTCATGAAGGGTGCATTGATGAACAAGCTTCTTATTTGCAATTACAATTGCATGCTTGCTCAATAAGGCAACAGTTTCCATGTCATTGGACCAAACAACATACTTCACAAAAGGTGTGGGAAGCTCCCCAATCACAAGTCTCTGCTGAAGATCAAAGATGATCACCCTATCCTCAGCTCTGCAAAGCACATTCCCAGTCCCTGCATAGAAAATTGCATCTGTAGCAATGGGAAGACCGCTCTTTTTAACCACCTCATTCTTTAGGTTCTTGACTAACACTTGATTGCTGCTTTTGTCTAGCACCGCAAACCTATTTCGGGCAATGAAGACAGCTGAACCCCCTGCCCCTCTCTTTGCTTCCTGTACAGTATCGCCCCTCGAAAAGCTATCCTTTGGAGTGATATACAACTCATAGGACCCCCCATCCACATCTGAGCACAAAAGAACTGCATTCTCTGTAGGGCTGTAAGAAAGAGTTCTTGGACTCTGATTCAAGCTTGTGGTACCAGGTCGCCTGATGGGAATTACCTGGTTTTCCTTCTGACTGGAATACTCAAAAAAGCGCAGAAACCGATCCTTTGCATAAAACAGAGAGTCGCCGCTCACAGCAAAAGCAGGCCTTTCTCTCTCCAACTTGAACACAATCATGCCACTGTCATGACCAGCAGCAAGAAGATTCATCTCAGGGTGAGCAGCAAGGATCCAGAACCGGTCATGCTCGCGACGGAAAGTTTGAAGCCCAGTTCTCTTAGTTACATCCCAAACTCGAATACTTTTGTCCTCTGAATTAGACACGATGATATCTTGTTTGGCATGGAACATAACACTCGAAACATTGTTCATGTGCCCCCTCAAAGTGTCCACTTCCCATGCCTTTGTATCTGAAACAGGAAAAACATGTCACTTCTAGAGCAGTTCCATCCGTTAATAAGTGAAAGCAGTTATTTGATATATATAAGAGACTTGCATTACAAATCTTTCTCAAATTTTGTGGAAAGTGTAGCACGATAATTATAAAGTAATAAATGGCACATAAAATCCCGTCTTAAAATATATCAAATATCAGGACCATATTGAAGAAATCTTTACAAACAACACAGTATCAGTAGCCATCAACAACACAGCTTACCATTCATACGCCATAACTTCACTTGACGATCATCCGCTCCAGAGACAATCAAAGGAAGTGTTGGATGGAACGAAGCCCAGTTTACTCCACGGTCATGACCTTCCAAGACATACTTAACAACTGCATCGATACCACCGAAAAGATCTCCATTCAGCTGACCCAAACGCATGATATCATCAGCAGGAGACACAGTTTTTTTTCTCAATGCAGCAGTGTCCCAAACACGGACAGTCTGGTCCAGAGAAGCTGACACAACAAGATCTTCTTTA